CTGCCTGGATGTGATCCTGTGCAACCTGCTCTAGATGAACTTGCTTTAGCAAGGGAGTTGGACTAGATGATCTCCAGAGAACTCTTCCAACCCCAACCGTCCCGTGATTCTCTAATATCAGTAATTTTGCTCCTTTTTGCAAACCCTTTCTTTCTCTACTCCTGCTATAAGCTGGAGATGCCACACTGCTGTTCACAAAATAATGCACTGGAACAGGGAACTGACCTTTTTTGAATTTTCCACCAATTGTTGATTTGGGAGACAGAAGACATTTTGTTCTTTCACAAGCCACTGAGATGGAGAATCTGCTTTTCTCCTTCCATTCCGCAACAAAAGTCTGGAAAAGTGCTTTGTCACTTGCTACATCAATAATAGTGAAACTTTCAGCACTTGAGGGAACAAGTGGAAAAACGTCCTGAGATAGCTGCAGTGAAAAGCCTTGGTCTATAGCAGAATCATCCTTTATCTCATCAGTCTCAATCGGGTCCAGACTATCAAGATTGCCACAGAGTGTCTTTACCTGCTGCTCTGCATTGTCCTCACTATTCTGCTGTGACTGAATCGTCTGCCCTTCATTTGTGCAGCTGACTTGTCTCCTTCCTGTGGATTTCACAGAAACAGAACTCTTTGGAAAAAGCTGTTTGGGGGGTGTTGGAGGAATAAAGCCATTATTACTATCTGGTGGAGGACAGCATGTTCTGTTGTTTCCCTTGAGCTGAGGTGTTATGCCATCTGTTTTCTGAAGCTCTGAGGTTTCTGTTTTGTTTTCTTTCACCTTGAAAGTGCTTTTTAAATCCTGGCAAGTGAGCAAAGGCTCTGACTTACAACAATCAGATTCAAAACCCAGATTTGGCTCTCGATTAACAATAGGAGCAACTAACTTTCCTTTCAAACATGAACTTACTGACACTGATTCAATGTCTGAGGGACTAGGCCATTGGTCTAACACATCTTGCAATCCTGGGCTTAGTTCAAATGAGCAGTCAGTCCACATCACTGGATGGGATTTCTTATCTAAAGCTTGCTGGCTTGTCTGGAGCTTTTCAACTTGATCTCCTACTAAATCCTTTGGTCTAGGGCCATTGTTACAAATCACTGGGTTTCTTAATCCTGACTGACCGTGAAATGCAGAAGGAAGATCTTTCAGAAAAGACGGAGAGTTTCCATGATCTAAAACTTCAGCTATTAGATCTGAGGATGCTACAGACACATTGTCACGCTGTACAGGATCCTCATGCTCTTCCTGATTGCCACTGACATCAAATTTATTCTGAACAGGCCTTAGACTCTGCAAAAGACCATCTGGAGGAAGCAAAGCCTCTTGCTTCTCCACAGGGTCCTTTTCATCAGCCTCCACGATGTGAACAGCTGAAAGGTCAATGACATTGCTGAAGCTATCATCAAACAGCAAGCTATCGCTCATGTTTAGGCTTGTCTCGGGGACAGGGTGGCATTCTGCTTGTACAATGTGTTCCTTACCAAAATGGGAGGTTGCTTTATTAAGGTCTTTAGACACACTGTACCCTTTCACTGCATTTTGGGTCTGGTAATCTTGCAGAAAGCTGTGTAGCTGTGAGTCAGTCACTGAGAAATCACTTTCTTTAAAGAAAGGTGCAGATTCTATTTCCCTCACTACGGGCCATAAATTAAGGTCTCCAGACTCCAAAACTTTATTACTACAGTGTTGAGTTGTGTTTTTTGTAATGTTATTTGTTGTGATAAGACTTGATAAGCTCAGTTTCCTAACTGTTTCAACCAGCCTTTCATCAGTAGCATTCTCAGTCCATAAACTGCTTTGTTTCTTCGAGATTTCCTGCAGTGGCATTGCTGCCAGCTCTGAACTTTGTATTCCCTGCTGTCCTGTGATTCCAGCTGCTCCCTCCTGTTTTATTATCATCTCAGTTTGAGTATCCAACTGGAAGCTGTCTTCAAAGCCTCTAGAGCCAGAAAACATATCAGAGGCAGGACTCTGCTGAACATCATCTGCATTGCAAACACCTCTGGATTTTACTAGAGACTCTTTCAGAAAATCCTTAGGATCACTGCTGCCTTTCTGCAGTGTTTCAGCTTGTAACAATATTTCATTGGGCTTTTCACTGCCATTTCTGCCACCATTCTGAATCCGAATATTGCAGGTTTTGTCCTCACCAGGACAAAAATGCACAGGCTTCCATATCCTGCTGTCACGATGGACATGTCCACTTCCAGAGCAGCTAGCAGTTACTTTACCATGATCTGTGTCTAAAGCCATCTCCTGCTTATCAATCCTCATCTCAGCAGTGTTCACATCTGCTTGAGTTTTATTAATTTTATTCTGCTTATCAGCAGTATTTTTATTTCTCTGTGTCTTAGCACTACCAGGTATTCCTCTACTTCCTACAATATTACGTGTCTCCACACTGGTGTGTGGGGTACCCTGCAATGTCACAGGTGCCTGAAAACATGCTTTCCCCTTTGCCATGCCTTCATTAGTGGTGGTAGGCTCCGTAAACAATCCTTCCACTTTATCTTTCCTCCCAGTCTTAATTTTCCCCACCTGCAGAGAATTTGAGAATTTATGAGTTACAGAATCTGTTTCCATAAATTCCTTATTATTTTGGTCTGAACAAAAGTTATCTGTCGAGATGGTGGGGCAGAAAGCAGGCAGCTTTTGTGTGTCTACACTAAGCATATTTGAATCTTCAAGAAGTGACCTCTGCAGTTTTGAAGTGGTATTTTTGTTCCTAGTCCGGTTTAAATGCATATCTGTACTTTTAATCAATCTAGGGGCTGAAGACTTCATTTTCAATGTCGGTGTTTTTCCTTGTTCAGTAAGGATTGCTCTCCTGGATTCCATCTTGGTTTTGACCAGAGAAATGCCTTCTGTGTTTTCATTACCTCCACATGTATTTGGCCGTTTTCTAGCACTGTACACAATATCCCCCTTGCCTTCCTCTGCTCGAGCCTGTCTCCTGTCTGGGACTTCACTCTCAAATACAGAGTTTTCTGTGCTGCTGCTTAGTCGCCTTTTATATCCCTTTCTAATAAATGGTAAGTTTCCAGTCTGCAAACCAAGGCCATTTTGATGTTGAGCTCTGCACTCTTTTTTGCTTAACACCCTTGAAGAGTCAGAAGACTGCTCTCCATCTGATCTGTGCAGTCTGTCTTCCAGTTCTGACTCACTGCTGATCATAGAGGATGTATCACTCTCGAGAAAAGACTCTGGGTTCCACTGCACTCCCATCAGTGCCAAATCCTGCTGCAGAAGTGTCCTGGCTTCCTCCACAATGATGGAAGCTGCTTCTCTTTCAGTTAAGCCTTTCATTCCAGCCATCCAGATGCTACGCACAGTCCGACGTTCCTCTGCTGACTCTTCGTCTTCATCCACAGCCCTACGAACACTATGGGAAAAGGGAACAGGCAGATGTAAACATTTATGCAGGAAATAAACAACACAAGGAGCAGGCACTATTCTGTTCTGCTCCCACATCCACAAGCTTCACAACTCCCTTCACAGAGGCACAGATATATCTATTTAAATGTATATATCTAAAATATAATGCACTTACTGGGAAATGATTTAACTGGAAGTAATTATTTCAGTTTCCTAAATGTGAATGGATGTTGATGCAAGATATTACTGGCTGCATACCCCAGAAGCATCCACAGGTTTCTGTGTCCAAACATGTACCCCAGACAAGTCCCAACTCCCTGCTAGAGCAAGATGCAGGTCTGAATCAATCCTCCTCCATGCACTGTTTTCCAAAGAAAGGAAACTTCAGGAGCATGAACCAGACAGGTCTCATGGCACAGTCCAACAGGTACTTGATTAAGAAAGCTTGTCATTGCACTAATATGAAAATCACAAGGGAATCTCAAATGATAATCAGTAGTAAATCATCAGCTCCTTTGATCATACAGCGGAGCTGCCTTTTAGAGTCAGCAAAAGGTCACCAGAAAGCATCAACAATTCACCCAGGACTAAACAGTGCATTGAAAAGAGGAAAAAGCAGAAAAAAACTGTCTCAAAAACTTAAACTTATGCTACAAATAAAAGATGCTTCTACTAATTTCAAAATAATCATGGAATGACTGTGATCAGTCACAGAGACCTACAAGTTATTTCTGACTAGTGTTTGGCACGAAGGTGACTGTATTTTAGTGCAGGTTTCGTTCATCACCTTATAACCTTTACTTGACTTCTGGACTTACTGATTTCTCACCTTTTGAACGGTACTGAATTCTTCAGAGCAGTTGCCACATCATCAGGACTGGCTTTTGCAAGATCAGCCACGGTGACAAAGCCAGCATTGTAGAGTGTCCTGGCACGCTGTGCATTCAGCAGGGACACTCGTACCAGGTCACAAAGCTCCCTATGAACCCCAAAAGTGAGGCGGCTCTGGAACTGTGAGAGGAGCAGCTCCATGTTGTGCCAGCCCAGTCGATTACAGAAAACTGTTATCATTCCTGGAACACAAAAGTTACATCAATGTCTTAACTCCAGTTCTACAAAGCTGGATCCATTCCCCATCCATTCCTTCCCCTCCCCCAAACTGAACTGGCACTCACTGTACATTTCTCACCTTCTCATTATTTACAGAAACTAACTCTTGTTTATTACAACTAGGAGCTTGTCTCACAGAACTCAACTTAACCTAGAATTAACTAATTTATCAGTGAGGCAGCAATTCTGAATGACAGTGCCTTTTCAAAGATGCAAATCTTGAAAGTGTGAAGCACATGCACACCCTGGAACAGGAGTCCTGTGAAACAATCACACTGAAAAAATGTCAAGAGAAAAGGCAGTGAGGAGAGGCACTAAGGGAAGCCACAGACCTTTGAGGAAAGCCAGCACGGGTGTCCATAAGGGCAGGCCACAGACCTTTGAGGAAAGCCAGCACTGGCGTCCATAAGGGCAAACCTTGGGCTGTGGAACTTCAGTAAGTGAGAGCATCATAGGAGATAGCAAAGCCTATGATAAAGGTTATGACTGCAGTCCCCAGTGCATGGGAGCAGGAAAAGAGCAGAGCAAAGACAGTTGCTTACTCAGAGATTGCATCTACAGCATATGAAAATAACTGAAAGACATGGCATCCCTCGTTATTTTTACAGGGATTATGGACTACAACTTTCACCATCTCTCCTAACTATGTGTCATGTCAACAGTTCATTTTACTTCCCAAATTACTTTTGTGAAAATTATTAACAGTGGTGATAGAGAATTATGAAACTGCTACAACAAAAAGTTATTTATACTAGCAGAATTAATTTAAACTACACTGCATCATTTGGCATGACCTTTTCATTTTGGGGCTTTGACTCATGCTGCAGCCCACACATAGGGTTTCGCAAGTTGAGCTAAAACTGTCTTAAAAAATTGAAAACCCACTTATGGAGTAATGGAGGACTTAGGCAACAGAAAAAATATCTCGGTCACATGGTGGGCTGTTACTTCTACACCTACACATCTTTCTTAAGGAAGTTAAGTTACAGGTGACAGCTATCTGACCTCTTGTGATCTCATGATAAATGACCCAGAAACTACTCGCTCTGTTTTGAAAACTAAAACCTTATACTTTCTGGCCAATTAATTTTGCAACCTGAAGAAAGGCATTCTCCATCTTAGAGACACTAAACTTTACCTACTTTCTGGCCAATTAATTTTGCAACCCGAAGAACGGCATTCTCCATCTTAGAGACACCAAACTTTACACAATGCCTAAAGGTACCCTTTCCCAATAGAGCAAAGCTTCAGAACGAACTCGTACCTCTTTCCATACTTAGTATTGAACAAACTGTGTGCCTGCACAGTACACAGATGATTTCCACAGACCTCAGCATGCTACAGCCCTGCTTGATTCCACTCTGCTGGCCCACTTCCCACAGCACACTGTGATTCCATTTCAAAGCAGGGGCAACCACAGGTTAAGCTATAAAGCCTTAAGTGGTTTTACCAAACTGTTTGCTGTTCGTAACACACTGTGGCTACCTTAGTGCCATATCTGGAAGGAAGAAAAACTAGATTAGCCTAAGACTCCTGGGGTATATTGCCCAGACAACACACCTGCATAAGTGGCAGCAGATTGCTGCAAGGACTGAAGCTGGCCACGACTGCAGCCATATTTCTTGGTCATATCCTGTAAGGGAACCTCACTGATTAAATCCAGAAGGGCAAGACTGGTGAAAAACCTGTTGAAAAAGTACATGTATAAATAAAATTGTCATCCAGGGTACATTATTGCACATGGTAAAATATACTGTGATAGCATAGAGCAGAATGGTACTATAGCATAGCATACAAAAGAAACAGAGATTACAGTTTCAAAAAACATCAGCACAAACATCTTATGCCAGCAATGCTCTCAGACCAGAACGGACCAGGTCTCTGAGCTATCAGCTCACTCAGAAAAACAGCCAGTTCCTGAAAACAGCACAGAGCCCACCCATTACAAATGTTTTAGCCTCCAGTCTTTGCACATTCACACCCATTTGTGGCTACCTTTTGTGGATGGCCATTTGTCTGTGCTGTTTCTCTGTTTTAGCTATGATTTTGCCCTTTACAGAGCGAGCTAGAAAGCCTTCTTCAATCCCCACCAGCTCAGCCACACGTTTCATTGAGGCAGGCAGCTTCTCCCATAAGCAGAAAAACTGGTACCAATCAATTGTGGTCCAGTCCTCATACACTGGGGTGACCTAAAGAAAATAAGACAATGCAAAAAACTTGTTTTAGAGAAACAAATGGAAGAGAGCTCTGGGTAAACAAAAATACAGCCTAGGGAATGTGGTTAGAGCATCCTACACACTGAGCAGAGGCACTGAGTCATAACCATGTACCATGAAGAAAGTAAAAGCTCTTCTAACCTAGTTTTTTTAATATTTGTACCAATGAGATCTGACTCATACGGGTACTCTAATGATTAAACAGTATGGAATCTTTGTCACATTACTCCCTAAATCCAAGCCATTAAGCAAATTTTAAGCTGTATCTTCGTTCTCCTTTAACAAAACAAACCTTTGTTTTAAACAAAATTTGCTGATGCCTATCAACCCCTTAAAACCACTAGCAACCACACTAACCACTGCCACAAGATCTGATACAGCAGCAAGGACAGAGATTTTGCCAGAACTTGCTGAATCTTGCATTGTACCTGGAGTACAAGAAATCTCAGCTTTTACTAACACTAACAAAAAGCCATCTACTGCATTCACATACTCTTAGACATAAACCCAATTCTGTTATCATTCAGTCAGCACAGAGTCAGTTTTGGTATGAGGAGACAAAATGTCTTCGTATCTGCATTGATATAAAGGAAGATTAATTGTTTTGAAAGAACTAACAGTTGTTGGGGAGCGTTTAACAGGACACACAGTTCCAGATGTGTATGTAGTTGTAAATCATCCATGCTCCTTCACCTGCTGAGAAGAACAAGACTTATTAAGGTGGGGGATTGTCTTTTGTTGCTTATTGGGCTTTTGTTTCGGGTTTTTTTTTCTTTAAAGAAAACTATTTACCTAGTCTAGCAAATACTTTTCTGTTTTAATCAACTTTCCTAAAATATAAAGTGTTGGGATTCAGTCTCACATTTGTACAAGTAAAAGATTTAATCTTAAGAGAATTAAAAATCATTATAGCAGATAATCTCCCTGTAGCCCATAAGGAACACATACAGAACAATTCTTAAAATAAATAAACAAAGCCACCAAAATGAAACAAATCTTTGGCCTTGAAAACAAACAGACTTGCAAGAAAGTGTTTTAGTTTAAGAGTTTTAGCTTAAGTGTTTAGCATTAAGTGCAGCTTAACAGAAGAGAATCTCAAAAACATTTTGTTCAACAGTGTATTTGATTGAAAATAACATTAGACAAGCTGCTGCAATTAAAAAGCACAGCATAAAAAAATATATTACCATTACTGCCTCCACCCCAGAACATGAACAAATTTCATCCTTACTTTTCCTGTCTTGGGAAAAAAAATTCACAGGGAAAAAATTCACTGGTGCATAATACAGAGGAGTTTGTAGGAGTTCACAAAGAACAAAATGTAATGCGGTCCCCTAAACCAGAGATATGGGTATATAGGGGACATTAGTAGATCAAAAAAAAATCTACAAGTATCAGCCCATAACTAGGTAAATGAACTAGCAGAGTCAGGCACTGTCAGTCTCCTGCCTCCCCCTGTTCCCTAGCTCAACAACTTCCGAAAATGCAAGCACATTCTTCTTGAAGTGAACATGTTTTGTCAGGCAAAATGCTTAAAAGGGAATACACTTCACAATTAAGAAAGCTGAAGATGGTTGTTAGATTTCGGGTGATGATTGCATGATGGGCCCCTAGCAGCCATGAATCCTAAGCTGTTCACTGCAACTCCATCTGGTTTCCTCACTAACCTTCACAGGTTCATGGCTTCTCTCCAAAGGTCTTAAATAGCATTGCTTAGCTTTTTAAGTGCACATGCTCATAAATCTTGACACACTTGGAGATACTTTATCACATTCCTTCCTCTGGCAGCAGTACCAGTCAAGTAGCTAAATCAGACACAAATTTCACTGTTACTGAACCAAAGAAATGCCCACCCATAGGAAGACAGTCATGTAGCTCTCTGAGGTTTTTTGGAGGCAAAATAGATACGAAAACCCCAAAAGTTTTCTGAGCCTCCAAAAGTAATATGAAATTAAGCCTGCTGATCCCAAACACACAACAAAACCAATTTGTTCCATCAATTTCAAGTGTCTTGGAAAAATTACCACTATCTTACACTCAAACCTTTGGAAGTTCTGAAATTTTATGAGGTCAGGAGTGACAACAATGGGCTTAGATGGCATGCAGCACCTGTCTACACAATAGACACTACACAAAACAGACTAGTTCTTAGGAACGTTTGATTTAGAAACTTTTCTGCATGAAGGATAAGCTAAGCAAAGCACACAAAAAACCCCACTATGTTCACGGGGCTTTCAAGTACTCTGCGTTATGTTGTCTCTCCTTTCCTTAGTTTTGGCAGTACAAAACACAAAACACAGAATGAGGAACCTACCAAATAGACAATATGTAGATCATTCTCCAGAACAAAGCTTTTCATAGCTCGCTGCAGGTCAGCAAAGATTTCCATGGCTTCACTTGGTGAAAGAGAAGAGGAAAGAGTAGCTGAGCCAAGATGTGTTGGATGATAAACCTTTGCTGTTTAAATAAAAAAAAAACACATACAAAAAACATTCAAATGCAAGTTTATATATCATTTTCAGGTTGCAAATTATTTTATATCAATTTTACTCATTTTTCCCAACTGCTTTTTCCAGAAGAAATAGAGTCTTTCTCCCTTCTGAAGACAAGAGGATGGAAACAACAAAAGGTTTGGCCTTATGTGTGTCTAAACCCTTTTTCAGAGGCCAGAGCACAAGCTCGGACCCTCTAACTACCCAGACTAAGTTGTGATGGCTATTTGAACTGGAGTCTCATACGTCATCCTGCCTAAGAGTTATCACAACTGGAGTCTCATACGTCATCCTGCCTGAGTTATCATTTAGAATTTCATAGAAAAACTAAATATCTCCTATCATCTTTTCTTTAAAAATAGTTACTTTCTATTCTTACTATTAATGTAAGAGTCTCATTCTTAGTCATTTTAAGAGAACAGCCAAAACCAGGAAAAACTGCAATAATGTACACCAAGCAGTTCTAGAAGAGACTTGCACTCTCTTAGACTGTACTGGTTCTTCTACAGAAAGACAAAAATCACAGTCTACAATTTAATGTGCAAAAATCCTGTAGCAAAAGTATGCTTGATTTAAAGATATTTTTGGAATTTCTAGTCTAGGACATATCAATCTTATAGGTGATGTGCAGGTGATATGCCTTTCAACAACACGTACGTGCAAAATATGTTAAAGCAGGTATAAAGGCACTCTCCAGAAAGCTAAAAACCTCTTGATACTCAATTCTTTAAAATAAATTTTTAAAATGCAGAGAAGTCCTTATTATAAGTCTATGGTGAGCACCTACCCAGCTGCAGATTTACCAAGTCAACACTGCTAACCAAAACGACTGGGAAGAAGACCAACATTACCTTTTGCATCATTGCCAGACTCCAGAACGTGAATGAATTCATTTTCCAGCAACCATGCCACACAAGCCTCAATAGGTCCAGCCTGCGCGCTGTCTTGGGCTTTCTCATTTTCCCACTTGCTTTCTTTCAAGCTGGATGCAAGAAGAGTGCAAGAAGCATAGGTCTGTACATCATCTGGAGTGTTGGCCACTCCCCCCACTATGATCTGTTGAAGAAAACTATTTGTTCATATTGCCAAGAAGCAGTAGGATGGAGCAACAGCTAAGGGAATCAAAGAGTTTCATCCATCATCTAAGTTTTAAAGAACCAGTACAAGAGGGGAATAGAAGGCAAAGCAACAGCCAGCCTTTAAAAACTTTTCTTGGCAAGAAGTCAGCCACCTCAGGTAGAAGTAAAAGTAAGAGGCCTACGCTATGGGAAAGAATTAATTTTAAAATCTTATTTTGAGAATGGAGCAATTTAGATTTGAGACTAGCCCTAGGCATTTTGCTTAGCCAACATTGTGAAATATTTTTAATATGTTAGAATGCAAATTGCAATTGTCTGAAGACAAAAGCAAACTATGAAGGAGGAATTTTCCTAAGGCTCTTCAGCATACTGAAGTTTTCTCATAATAAATGTGAATGCTATACCTTGCCATTGTTTTTCTGATTAAAGTGATTTTACTGAAGTTTTCTCATAATAAATGTGATTGCTATACCTCGCCATTGTTTTTCTGATTCAAGTGATATTTTTCCTCTTGAATTCTGCTTTGGTTTTGTTTTTCACATAACTGCTTTTCCTTGTGAGTCATTTCTATCTGTGTGTCTTCCTTGGGATAAGCAAGGTGTTTGACTAAGAACTTTCTTTCATGGTTTCAACGGATTTTTTTTCTGTGTTGTAAAGAAACACCACCTGAAAGGAACCCCCATCTGTTAGACTGCTCTTGTGTGGAAAAGTGCATTGAGAAATTCCATTGGTCTGCTAAAAATTCAAAACCTGTGGAATCACAACCAAGTTCTAAGTACCACAGCAGTTTTCACAAGACAGTAGAAGTATAGCAAACAAACAGTGTTTTAAAAGTTCTGAATTTAAAGAGTCTAATCTAGGTTCAAGCCCAAAAGCAACTCTGGAAAAGGACATAAGCTCACCTATGTGGAATAAAACCCTTTTGATCAGTTTTATTCCTATAGGAACGCTACAGAGGAGGACAGGCTAAAGGAAGAGAACTGGGTACCACAGCTGCTTGCTCACCAAAAATATATGGACAAAATTTCAGTCGTTTCTGTGCAAAAACAGTAGGTAAGTTGAGGGGGGAAATAAGAGACCCTACAAGGTCCTACAAATGTCATTATGGCCCAATTCAGTGTAAAAAGCCTTTAGGATCAGTAATTTACAAGCATTCCCCAGTTAAGAACGTCAGGTCACACATGAAGTTTAAGAATTACACTAATTTCTGCCTGTGGCTTGAGTATATCTAAATACAAAGCAAAGCTTAGCAACTCTTGTTTGAGTGTGCTCACATCCTGATCACCAGCAAGCAGAGAAGCATTCCAGACAAAATGCTGAATACTGAAGAAAGCTGGCAGACCCAAGTAATTTCCTTCCGAAGATGCTTAGTTTGACAAGGAAGGGAACACAGGAACAAGAAAGTCCACAGAAAACATTTGACAGTGTCACAAAAGACACCATCCTACAAGAGTGCAAGCAGGGTTATAATCCCTCTCTATGTGTCCTGTACCTCAAGTATTGCTCTTTTCATGCTGGAAGCAACACCTTCCCCTTCTCTTCTAAGCAAACAGCTGCAAACAGGCTTGAGAGATCCCTGAAGTAGAGCAGTTCCTTTTGATCTTTCTGAGGGCTTGCAAACTAAAATGCTCTCACCTGTATGAAAAGAAAAACCAAAAAAAAATCCAAAAGCATCAATGACCATCAAGCACTGCATCTTAGCACTTAATAGATGCATACAGTTCATCAAGGACATATTACTGGAAGGGAAAACTGTAGGCATTTTTGAAAAAGCTGAGTAACAGAAGAAGAGCAAAACCTGTGCAACCTTGAACAGTGTATATGCACTGCTGTGTAAGAACACCATAGATGCATAATATTTATGAAGCAAAAGCAGAGCAAGCTTCAAAGGTCTTGTGTTTGTCTAGTATGATGCTAA